GCAACCGTTCGTAAAAGTGGCTTTTAACCAGGAGACTTCAATGAAAAACCATACTGTTCTCTCTAATTCAAAAATGAAGTGAAATCATAATCAGCAACGGATCAATAATCTTTTGTCAAATAGTGTCGCTTTTAAACAAAAATAATAATAGGGAATATTAAAAAAAAACACTTTAATAATGCTAAACCTATGTGATTTAGAAATTATCATTGTTTATATTACTTTAATAATTATAATCTAATTTGTCCAATCTCGACACACTATGTAATTGAGTAATTATTTGTATATGTGTCTCATACAATAGGTTTTGCTCTATTTAGTTGATATATAACATAGTTATATCCTAGGTTACGACCTTTAGAATCCTCGATAACGATAACTAATCAGACTATGAATAGCACTAACATTAAAGTTAACCTCAAAGGAGACGTTATGATAATTTGTAATAACAATACATGTCCTATGAAAATTGCTATAAGAATCTATTAACATATTTTAAAGTGACTGTTCAGAATGTTACGGTACTTTAACTTAACAATTTTAAATAAAACTAATTTTATTCGTATAAAAATAATATTTAAAAAAAATGAAACACGCGTAGTATATCAGAAAAACATTAGTTTCATTTAAATTAATACTCGCGAAAGTCTTAGATCTCATGAATTATTTTATCTAAGAAGTCAGTTAGACAAAGGAGTTTAGTCTTAAATATATTACCAGAAATCCTTTACAGTTAAATTTTAAAAATGTAGAAAGCATTGCACTTATTGAGCTAAAAGCCGGAACTAACTTTTAAGATGGTTTCAACGGATTCAACTTCATCCAGTAGAGACACAAGTTTGAAGAAACTTCTTGTACTCCGAGTGGCTGAATCAACTTAATAATTATTTGTTCGCTGGATTAATATCTACGAAAAGCTTTATTAAATTACGTTTTATTTTTTACATATAAATTTATATTAATACCATAAAAGTTGAAAGGATTTCTTGTTTAGAATCGTCATTGCAAATGAATTTCTTCAATTAACAAATCTCTAGTGCAACTCTAGCAGTGCAGTTTCCGATAAATATCTTTTTCCACTAAAGTGATGAAAAAAAAAATACATTTCGAAATAGTACTCATTTAAAAGAAACTAAGCTTTTCAGATACTACGAATTTGTTATTATTTCGTAAGTACATAATCACGGGCAGACCAGATAAAAGATGACTTTCACCTAGATCATGGTTGCTATTATGGAACCCGAATCTCGAAATATTGTATTTACAAATTGATAAAAAGGTCTAGTATTCGAAAAGTATAATTTCATTTAAATACTTTATAAATCACTAATTCGACTAATCTTTTGTAAAATCGATATCCTTGTAGTACGTAAAGCAAATGTAGCCAAATTCTAAAGTTAATGCATCGTAGCCTTGTCATCCGATTTCCGAGTGAGCTATTATGTTGCGAGTTAATGTTACTTCTGGCTCGCCAAGCTTCGGTCTGTCTGTTATCTTAGCCAGATAGAATTGATGTCAATTCTATGACATACGATGAAATTAGAGGCATCCTTTTAAGCATCCTTATAAAAGTATCGAAGATGGGAATAACCAAGGGTGGGAAAATGAAATCCTTAAGAATAACTTATGTTTTTGAAGATATTTCTTCTTCATGAGGTATAATCCTTCCTTCCAAAAGAAGCCTTCTATGTACTTGTAATTGGTTTCCCATTCAAACATTTTTTACTTACTATAAAATTTTGATACTTGATCAATAAAAATACGCCTATAACAGACGATTACTGGTTACTTGACAATTAACACAATAACGGCATTTCCTAAAAATAAAATATCGTTTTGATTAAAATGTATCAACAATATTCAATGGACAAATTTTGGAGCCATGATGGAATAATAAATATACATTTCATAGAAGAGGGAAACATGACACTGAAAGTTTTAACAACAATGGTTATTGTGTAACCCGTATCGAACAAGCCATACCAAGCCATATAACCAAAGCCGAAATATGTTGCTAAAAACGAAGTAAAATTTTATAATACCTGATTCTTACGCTAAAAAAAAATGTTTTCCAACTAACAAGTTTTTCTGTCTTAATCACAGTAAAAAAAATAAAAGAATGAGAAATATTAGGATAAGAACTTGGTATGTGTATATAATACGTAGGTATATATCATTAAAAAATTTAATTTTTGAATGAATTATACAAAAAGATTCAAATTTGCAAATTACACGTAGTTACATGACGTTCCTCTGTGATCAACTTTATCTTACAAAGTATATACTTCACAGCATTTAGAACTTTAGTTCCTATAATATAGATCAAAAATTAAGAGAAGTTACAATTAAAAATTTTCCTCACTATTTCACATTCACGTTTAAACTATGTAACATACTCAAGATTTCTATAGAGGAAAAGACATGCTTTAAGGTAAAATATATTAACTGGAACAGTTTACCAAAACAATATAACCTCAACAATGCATCCAAAGTGTTGCAGTCATATTGCTAATATTTGGCGACATACATGGCACCGACTACAATATACATGTTCGACATTATGTTTGTCACTTGTAAACCATATAACTACTATAAGTGGAATAATATATAAAGCCAAGCGCCAGATCTTGATAACGTCTTGTATCGAATACACAGCAAATTATCAAATACAACAGTACACAATAAAGATTTCCTTATAGTAAAGCATCTTCAATGATATATTAATTAAAGCAGGTTTTTTCAATGTTTATTAAATCAATCAATTGTTCTATTTAAAATAATTAAATGTGATGAGTAATAAATTGTTTTATACCACGTTTTTGTTTGTAATTATAGTAATTTGAATTCAATTCAAATATAAACATTATTCAATTTCAATTCAATCACATCATCCAATTCACTGATGAACAGATTCGATTCATATTCAATCTAATCCTGCATTATACGTGCGATATATTTTAAAAGCATAGAAACTAAATTAAATTTTAGATGGATAAGTTTAAAATTTGATTGTCGTTACTATTTATGAAAAAGTCCGAAGTTTTATTTGTATATATTTTTAAATAAAGTTAAATTAGTGTTGATTATTACATTGATAAAAAATTGTGTACGTTTTTTGCATATTATATTAGAATGAAATAATCGAAATATAAGATTTTGATTTGTGTTGTTTCATTAATTGATATTATGGAATTAGCCAATAACAAGTATGAGTGAGTACAAATAAGAAACAATCTGAAAAACGAAATACAATTAGCCAGACAGAAGAATATAAATTTTAGATTAACAAACGTTATATGGTTTGTACAGAAACCGCAACCTATGTGGACGGAAAAGTATAAAGATTTTCTTTTGGTATCGGAAAAATTGAGGATGGTTACATGGTTCTTCTGAAGTTCATGGACCCAAGAATTAAATGTAACCGGTGGTGCAGAACATCCCAGGGGAAAACAAACTTAATTGTTATAAGACATAAAAGCAAATTTCCTCCGTACTCTACTGTAGATAGTATAAAAATATAGAAATAAATTACGACAAACACAAACAAGTTTCTTATAAAAAAATTATTCATTACAATTTTTTTTCCGTAAAATAATTTAAATATATTCATAACAGAGACTATCAAAATCTCACTCAAAGATCTCTTCTAATTTTGAGAGGAAAGAAAAAAATTAAAGTATATATAATAAACTACAGTTTTTACTCTTACACATTTACTTATATACTTCATAAAAGTATATAGGTTTAAATATTTTGTTATATCAAAAACATTTTATCTATATAATAAATAACCCTTCCCCATAATAATGATCCATAATCATTATTCCACTGCTTAATACTTTAAAAGCATTAACATAAACAATAGCCAGAGTATAATAAAATATAATCCTATTTGTTATGCTTTTGTACTTCACCAGCTATTGTAAACAGAATCGATTTTAAATACCCCCGGCTTATTGTAGGTCGTTACATTACTTAATGCTTTACTAACGATACTTCATGGATAATCTTTATTGTTTATTAAAGGGAAAGGTAATTAAATTATTTAAATGGACGAAATTTTATTATAATTTCGTTTGTATGAATTGTTTATACCTCATAGCAGAAAAGTTGGGAAATTGAAGAGTTACATGAATTTTTCAGTTGGAGGAAGCTATTAGCAAATAGAGGAGTTTTATACGTTCGGTACAAGTTGTTTTCAAAAATATTTTTTTTTTTATTATTACGATATATGTAGTTTTAGTGCCGGGATAACGTTTACGATATAGTTTCAGCAGTTTGTTAATACTTCAAGGGTGACAAAAATTATTATTATAATATTTAGCTGAAGAATTATTTCGAGTAGATGTTTACAATCATGGTCATTATAGACCCCTAACTTCACAATAATCCCACAATTTCATTTTTTATTTTAAATCACGTTTTTATTACTTACAGAAATATAGTTAGAAAAAATCGGGCAACTTACATTTGAAAAATGCTCGTAGTTTTATCCAAAGGATTCTGATAAATTTATCGGAGTCTAGGTATAAATGAGTTATGATAAAATATAAAAAGGCCTTTTAGAAGTAGTTTTTATATAATATTCCTGTTAATTATTTGAAAAAAGTAGAAATATAAAGTACCTAGTAATAAAATGATAATTTTATTTGTAATAATTTACAATATTGTTAACGAACAAAAATTACCCCATCCCCCCCGGCCGGTTGCTCTCACCATAGACAATTGAGACTATAAGAATGGCTGCAAATCGACGACAGCTCATTCTATTAGTTGTCATTAGTTGTATTAAGATCTACGTCGAAATGTATAAGTGAAAAGTGTTAACAGTGAAAAGTGTTTAAGTTCTAAATAATTCTAAGAGATAAAAAGTGGCATAATTTGTTAAGACTAGAATTTTATTAGTTTGTTAAAATCAGAAGTGGGATTCGAAGGCGTAATCTACCCTCCTGGCCAATAATAAAAATAAAATTACGTATACCCACTTTAAAATAATAATTATGTTTGCAGAACCAAATCGAGGACAACAACGGCGTAGGGCTGAAAGTCCTACTCAGTCCAACGTCATAAGCCAACAGTTGGAAACGATCCTGAACCGTCTGACGGCATTGGAGCAACAGACGACATCAGTGGAGTGCCGACCAACGTCGCTGCGAGCTTCAACACTGGAAACAAGCTCTGAGACCGGAGACGTGCGGCGCGATCTGTGTGAGGTACCCACACCTACCGAGAGACCCCTACCGTCTCCGGGTTCCACGGCAGCCACTAAAGAAGTTGCTGAGAAGTTTTTAGAGGCGATAACCTCCTTAACCGCGGTGAGACCAACCCAGTACTATGTTTCTAACTTAGACCCTAATGTGAATGACGTGTTATCGTGGTGTGACGAAGTGGAACAGGCGCGATTACGTAATAAATGGGACGATGTAGAATGTTTGGCGCGTATAGCCCACTGTCTTAAGGGTGATGCCCATGTTTTACTCTCTGAATGGCCCCGCAACGACAGATCCTGGTCTAATTTAAAAAAAAAATAAAACTAATATTGTTAAGCCCGACACATATAGACTTAGCTAATATTCTATTTGAGGTCATGTGTACTAATAGTAATGATTATTCAACTTATGCTGAGTACGCTCGAAGGACATTATTACAATTAAAGATAGTCAGAGGTTTAAATGATAAAATTACTGGTTGCAATAGTGTCATGCGGACCCTCAAATTCGTGCTACAGCTGTTAATTCGAAATAACAATCTTACAATCTATTACATTTTATCAGTTTATATAAAATCAGATCACCTTTTAAAAAAAAACGGTTCAACGAAATTACAATGTTAAAAAGCGGTCCTCAAATGATCTTAAATGCTATGTGTGTAATAGAAGGGGACACGTGAGTGCATCATGCAGTTATAGAAGGCCTAAAACTGACATTAATAAAAGTAAACAACAAAACTTGTTCAACACTCAAGGTCAAATTAGTTTCAATTTAAATACCTAGTTTGTAATTTTGTAAGAAAGTCTGTCATAATGAATCAAACTATTTTGCTAAAGAACGATCAAACACGGGTAACGTAAATTTTTGTCGAAGAGTCGTATCCGATATTAAAAATAGTGACGTAATTACGGCGATTCTAGGTGGCATCCCTACAGATGTATTAATACACAGGTTCATATATCTCGTTAATAAGTTCTGATTTAGCTAAGCATTTTTTCGTGTAAAAATCTCATTAGGCTCATGCTAGTCCGGTTTGTAATGGTCAGGTTAGGCCAAGCGAGAATAAGATAAAAGCGTTAGTTCAATCACCTCAGCTACAGGACGTCGAAGAGGTTAGGCAAATTTTAGGCTTAGCGGGCTATTTCTGTAGATTCATACTCTTATAAAACAATCTCAAAGAGCAGGAAAAGTTGGATAGTTGAATGAAGGGACCGTACCGCATCACCTAAGCACTAGCAAATAACCGCTATGAGCTCTCTCATGGCAAGGTAACACAAGCGGCCGCTGAGTATGTAGTTCCTTGGAATGGTGAGTAGACTCACGACGCTTGTTTAGCATTCTTTGAAAGTACGTTTAATAATTCTTAATCGTTACCTAAAAGATTATAGGATTATATTACATTTTTAAAAGGTAATTATTAGTGGAGAGAATTTGATGTTCTTATGTGTACTTTGTTTTATAAGTTTGCCAAGAACAGACCTATGTTAGTCTCAATAATACATGTTGAGCGTTGGGGTGACTTGGTAAAATTCTGTTTAAATACAGAGATGGGTACAGGGTGACTGAGAAAAGACTCTTGTAAGACTCTAAATGAGCCGAGGGGTGACTCGGAAAAGACTTGTATAAAACCCACAGTTCCATTGTCGGAAAAGACCTGTGTAAGACTCTTGAGCGTCGGGGTGACCGCAGTTCATTGTTGGAAAAGACCTGTGTTAGACTCTTGAGCGTCGGGGTGACCGCAGTTCATTGTTGGAAAAGACCTGTGTTAGACTCTTGAGCGTCGGGGTGACCGCAATATCTTTGTCGGAAAAGACCTGTGTTAGACTCTTGAGCGTCGGGGTGACCGCAACTTATTTATAGGCACATAACAAGCATCAATAACTCTCTTGAACTAAAGTTACTCATACTTTACCGTAGCTTTATAAGAAAATACCGACTGATTAAGATCTTAGTTTTAAAAGTTTCGTATGTGTGAATTTCAGGCTGTGAAACTGATTGCAGCGATGAACAAACTACAGCCTGGCAGAGTAGCCGCGAGGACGCTGCCTCGTCAGGAGAGGCCGTGTTAACGAACAAAAATTACCCCATCCCCCCCGGCCGGTTGCTCTCACCATAGACAATTGAGACTATAAGAATGGCTGCAAATCGACGACAGCTCATTCTATTAGTTGTCATTAGTTGTATTAAGATCTACGTCGAAATGTATAAGTGAAAAGTGTTAACAGTGAAAAGTGTTTAAGTTCTAAATAATTCTAAGAGATAAAAAGTGGCATAATTTGTTAAGACTAGAATTTTATTAGTTTGTTAAAAATATAATAATAATATTTGCGTCTTTGATAATAAGTTTGTTACCTAATTTAATAATAATAAATCAATTATTTCCGATCTGTAGGGAAATGGTTTGTAAAATATTTTGTGCCTTTTAGATGAAGAGATGGATTTAGGTTTTGCTTTGTACTATATTATAACATGATTATACTTCTATATTAAATATAAAGAGCTTGAAGAAACGGTTGAGTGCAATCTAGAAAAATGTTTTTTACGTAACTTCATTACATATTCTTATTCAGCCCTCAGAAGAGTTTTATTGTTTGAATTTACTTAAGACGAGACTCAAATTAGTCCTCTTGTGACATCTTAGAATGAGTTATTATGAAATAATATATTAAATTACACGCCCTTTCGTCTCCATGGTACAATTCCACCTAACAAGATATCATATACACGAATATTACGGGAAGAATAATCAGATAATAGTATAGTATTAAAAATATTATAACTGTGTCTAACGTATTACTCATTACAGAATCTATACAAAAGGCCACATTAAGAATGGATTGAATTAACAATTGACCTTGTTACATCAAATGCTTCTATTTAGAAAAACTAATCATAAAATTTCTAGATATCATGTATATTATTCATTATTAATCCGCTTATCTAGGAACGACTGAGTAAATTTTCTAACGTTAAACTTTGAACAACAAGACCGGTATTGGATCTTCTAATCACGAAATGCCGGATTATCAAGATGTGACCAGGTAGATGAAGATTGACCCAGTTTAACAATCGAGCTGTGACATATTATTGATTATATATTATTGATATATATAGTTACGTCTATACAATGCAGCTTTACAATAAATCAAAAACCAATATGTAATTATTACTTAAAAAATGTATGGACCAACTTAAAGATTCTTTACTAGTTATGCGAAAGATATATAATCTGTAATGTAGAAAGATGACAAAAATATACATAAACTATAAAATCTTTAAATTAAGAAATAAACATAAAAATATAATGAATACATAAATGTATATAAGGTGAAAGTTTCTTAATTAGAATTCTGCAGATTGCTTCAGAAGTATTTGAAAACTAATTTATTAAAATTACCTTTATTAGTTCAACAGCTTCGGAGTTCAAGCTAGCGTTTTCAAAGCTGTAGTATTGCGGTCAAACTAAACCACCAATAAGCTACTCTTAATACTCCTTAGATAACATCTGTCGATAATTATGTTGATATTGTATATAGGAAATCAATAATTTTGATTTTGATACAATAAAATTTTAAGAGAATTTTGTCTACAATAGGGTGTCTTTTATAATAAGCATTTATCGTTCAATAGTATTTTTGCTTAAAAGCTTAATACCAAATTACTTACTTGTAAATTTAATATAATCGTTTATTTCAACAGCCCAAAATTACTGAAATAAAAGTTCTTGTTGAAGTAAAAATTAACTTATAAAGATAGCTATAACATTTGTAAATTACCGTCAACCTGCCAACTGTCTTTATCACCTTAATCAGTACTGTATAATTTAATTAAACAAATTAACAAACTTTCATTACAAAACACTGCAAGTACAGTTCATTCTCTTAATTAAACACGTTATAATAATGGTTGAGAAGTTTTAATGTTGTGAAATATCATAAAACAGGCCTAGCAATAAACAGGGCGTAATAAAAATTTAATGTAATGTTGTATTAGTAGTCTTTCTAACGCTGTCTGTTTACTATAGTTTACAGATATCTATTCTAGGTACTACAATGCTGGTAACGTGCTTTGTGATCACAAAGTTTCCCTGAGTTTTACCGACAACCCTACTCAATTAATGACATAGAATTATTTGATATGACTATGTAGGTAATTGGATAAACTTTTATACATTGAAGGCTTTAAATACCTCTTCAAAATATATATCTGATAAAATAAATTCAAACATTTTTCATTTAATCTACAATTGCTTGATTTTATTTTGGTATTTTAGAACATATAACAAAGTTACGATAAAATTTTTTGTTGAATATGACAACCGTAAATTTTTGGGCTTAATATTTGTAACCCAATTAACACGAATATTATAATCTTTATTTAATAAAACAGCTAATGTTCTAAATAATAAGTTCGACAGATTTTCAATAATTATAAACAAAAAACGAACTCTTTTTCTTACTATAATGATAGGATAGTATATTGACTAGTTTTATATGAGTATCTTTGATATATGTACAAAATTTAACGCTAAATTTGTCTGTCATAATTAGATCACGCATGTACAAATGTTCTAGCAACAACAACTGACTTAATATTATTCTGTTTTCATGCCAAAAATGATATTATTTCGCTTAATTTAACTAAATAAATTATAATTCACAAGTACAATTCTTATATATTATGTGGACGAATCAATATCTTTTTGATTTACGACCTGTAACATCTGGATGATCCCTTTCTGCACGAATGATCACTTCTTTACACCTCCTTGACGTTGATCACACTTCGACCGGGATCCATGACATCAATTACCTCGTCTACATAAATAGACATCTTTATTTCATATATTTTTCCTTGGAGTATTATTTTTAAATATATTTCTTAAATAAGTGATTTAATTTTCTATAACAATTTAATTGGACAACTTCTTTTGTTAATAATGGTCAATTAATGAATGTTATATTTTTCTTTATAATAATATAATAACAATTATAATATGGCAAATAATTTCATGACTTTTAATTCCCAAATAAGCTAAAGGGAAACTAATCATATATATATTATACTATTGATCTTTAAAGTCGTATTCAAATTAAAATATATGAATTGAATCGACATAGGAAATCTGATTTAAGAAAAAGCTCTTCGACAGGATAACATTTTTCGAACGAAAATTATATTAGTTTCACGGTGCTACAAATATAGTCTAGAGTAAGAAACTGGTTAAATCAGATCAAGTACAACATATTTATGGCAAGAAAACCAAAATCATAATTCTGTTCAGAGAAACTGTCAAAACTCTTGTAATATTTGGAAACATAAGTTTCTAGAAAGCTCTACAGTTTTAGTTTCTAGGCGATCTAAAGTAGAGAAGAGAAAAATACATCCATATGTTTTGAATCGTAAGTAAAACACATATTTCTTTATAAACTAAAATTTTGAGTTTCGTCATAAATAACCCTGAAAGAGTAATGACGGGTGTAGAACTAGATATGCTCTAAGTAAATTCATAAGACAAATTCCTAAGTGAAAACCGACAATAATTAATTATAGATAGCTTTATAGCAACAAAGTATAAGAATTAAAAAAGACTTACTCTTTTTTGAATACAAAATATGGCTTAAGCTTGAATAAGCTTGTTGCTTGAGTTTCTGAATTATTAATAGCCACCATGAATTAGGGTTAGCCATAAAATATTCTATGCGAAATAATAAAAATATTTTAGTTCAATCTTTATACTTTAGAATTCTACTAAATTTAACATAACAAAATCATTTAGGGATGAGCAATGGATGAGATTAGTTGTTTTAATACATAAAGATTATTGGCGAATATTGGAAATAAAATGTCATAATTATAGCACTTTGAAGATGTAATAAATAGTAAAAAGTTTGATACATTCTTAATATAAAAGCGAAATATACATTTCCTTCGTCCATTTAACCGTTAAAGGTAGAAATTCCCAAAATACTGAAACATGTATTAAAGCAGTCCGGTAATTTAGACTATTTTCATTAGCTTAGTAATTTAGAAATTCCAAATTCAATGTAAATTAAATTTAACTACGTACGTATATTTTTTGAAGTCGTTTTATCTTGTTGGTGCTAAAACTACTATGTTTAAAATATGTTGTTAGTAAAATACATAATGTATGTTATAAGTTTAAAACCACTTATTAATTTTTTGGTTAAAAAATTAAGGCTACTTGTAAGCAGAACTAATAAACATGGAGAAGCCTGAAAATGTTGTTGTTGAGTTGACAATTTCACTACTGATACACGTAACGACTAAAGAAAGGCGTAATTTAGATACTTTTGCAAGTCGCCCTGTATTGCTCAGCTATAGATAAAAATGCAATGATGTTGGATAAATATCTTTGCAAAACTTAAGTACGTATTTAGTTATACTTATTTAATTTATGGATATTCTCTTGTCAACAAACAAACACGTCTTGTTTGTAACAGAATTTATAAGGTAGATATTTTCTTGAACGCACCCGAAGTTAAGAGTATTAAAACAAAAGTGGTTGGTAGAAATACAGATAAAAATCGTGAAAGAGTGGATCATTTCTGAGATAAAAGTCGAGATTTGAAAAGTACTTCGTTAAAGATTACTTCATTATTCAGATATTTAAAAACTTTAGAAACATATGTTTATAGTGACATATTTGTAACTCCTCTAGTTTTGAAACAACAATATATATGGAAGAGCTAAACTGGAACATAACATAGGACCTATAATTAGTAAAATGTTAAGCTGTAAGGCTTTCTAAAGTTATATCACTTAATCATTTACTTTGCCATAATTTTTCTAATTCACTATACGAAACGGGAAAGGAATGTGTTTTACTGAACACTACCCAAAGTAAAATAAATGCAAAACCTTATAATATACACATAAAATATAAACACATAAAATCATTTTAAGTAAGAGATAATTAAAGAACATGGAATAAACTAAACAAAATTAATACATAAATTTTTAGAAAATCAATTTCCTAGAAATGAAAAGACTTTTTCATTTATTTAATTACTTAAAACATATATTTAGATTTCCCCAAAGCTTTATA